GTCTCCTAGCCTCCATTTATAAGATTTTTGAGAGGCTTCTACCAAAGAGACTTAACAAATACCTGACAGACACGGAAGCAATACCAAATATTCAATTTGGTTTCAGAGCAAATCACTCCTGCACACACCAGCTGCTAAAGCTTGCTGAGTACAGAGCTTCCAAGAGAAAAAAAACATACCTAAGCCGCATTTCTAGATATTGCACAAGCGTACGACAGAGTTTGGCATACCGGTCTCTTATTTAAAAGAAGACAACTCGGAGTCCCTGAGTATATTCAGAATGTTATTAAAGGCTTTATCTTTAATAGAAAATTTAAGGTCAAAATTAATCACTCATTTTTTACTCTTCGTAATATCACAACCGGAGTTCTTCAGGGCTAAGTTCTCTTACCTATTTCCCTTAATACTTCGTGAGTGGCAAACCCAAATATACTAACGTGGAAACTGCTCTTTTTGCTGACGGCACTGTTTTCAGCAAGTTCGGATATTAACCTGGCATATAATATAGTCCAGAATAATCTTAATATCCTAATTCAAAAGGATTAACATCCAAAAATGAAGAATCGCAATCAATCCTCAAAAATGCCTGACTAAGATATTTACTCTCAGGAGACCTCAAAACCCTCCTTATCTGAAAATAGTGACAAATACCTTGGAAAAGTGAACCAATAAAGTATCTTGGAGTGTTGTTAGACAAGAAACTTTCCTGGAAACCGCATATTCACGCAGCTATCAACAGATCGAATGCCAAAATATCAAAACTATACCCTGTTATAAATCAACATTCAACACTCAATACCAAATGTCAGATTCTATTATATAAATCTATTATCCTACCCACACTAACTTATGCTTGCCCACACCACCACCATTATACAAAAAATGCAAATAGTCAAAAATAAAGTCCTTAGGAAGTCAATTAAAGCTCCATGGTTTATACCTAACCATCAAATTCACATAGAATTCCAAATGAAAACGGTGCTAGAACACATAAAAAGAGTAGCAAATAATTTTTATTCTTCCCGTCCCTCATATCATCCCGCTCTGAAATTCCACCTAGGCCGAACAGCAAACATCCCAAGTCGAATCAAATCTAAATTTCCCAAAGATATGCTTAAACCTCCATAAACTAATAATATCATCCCGTATCTTTGTTTATCTTCCCCCCAAAAAAATCAAGATTAAATTTCTGTAGCTTCTAAAACAAAACGAATGAATTAAACGAGCCAGAGTATTTAAACACAATGAATAAATTCCAACATAAAAGTCAGCGTGTAAAACGGAAACCCCTCGAAAGACCCTTGGTCGAAGCAGAAGAAATGAATTTAAAAAAAGTTAATTAAATAAATTTAAAATTTAATAAATTTAATTAAAAAAAAACAATAAAATAAATTTTAAAAAAAGAAAAGAAAAGAAACGGAGGTCCCGCACACATTATTATTACTTCAGCCTCATCTGCTGCCATCGCCATGTAGGGTTTCGTAAATATTTTAAAGGTTTGTTATTGAATTTTTCCGCATCGCATTGTGAAAGTTTGAATTTTGAATGTTCATTCCAGGGATATAGCATTGTCAGTTTCGAGATCACAGTCAGTATTATTACGATAAGACCAATCGAACTCAGAACTGACGCAACAATCAGTTGCTCTGTTGCGGCGTATCCCGGGAGGAAGAGCCATTTGTTGTTAAATTACTTTCCCAGTCACCAGTCGTCAGGAGATTTCCTTGAGAATTGTCCTCCTACATATTATCGGCCACTTTCTTAAAGAAATTTTTCTGACGAATTGTTCCATCCACTATTTAAACTATCTAAACTCAAAAAAATCACGACCATGGATTGTTCTCCTCCAGTAGGAGTAAACTACAGACTCAGACGGACTGCGTATGTATTGCCTACGTTTTCATTCTTCATAAAATGCTAAATGAATCAGCAGAATAATAATAATAATAATAATAATAATAATAATAATAATAATATAATTTATTTCTGAAAATGAACGTACGCTCAGTGGCAGTTACTCAACAGAGAGAGAACAAAAATAAAATTAAGAGAAACTATACCTATTAAAAAAGAAGATGGTATTTAATAAAGTTACTATTTTGTTCTAAGGATGATTACATGAAATCACTTTTATGTTTTCTGTAGGCAATTTATAATCTCTGAGAACCACAACATCGTCTACAATTATTTAGCATCTGATCTAATTTATTTCCAAGGCGTTTTAGAGTTTTCCTTTGTTCAAACAAAATACGGTTATTTTTTTAGTGACATTAACCTCATGTTGATTTATTTGTAGCTCCAAACGAAATATAAGATCACTTTTTGTAAGTGACATTAAATTACTAATAAGTGAATTTTTGAAGTTCTATATCATTAAATACTAAAATCTTACTAACTTTGTAAACACATGCACATGTGAGTAATAGAACTTTGCAATGTATCTTTTTTGATGATGATACATTACATGATTATATTTATGAATACATGTGCTTTAAATAGTGTCCTATAAAACTTCTCGGAAACTCAATCGTTTCTTGTGAAAACTAACAAATGTATTTTTTTTAGACTTCTCACGCTAGTAAAATGCATATTTTCAACAATTTGTAAACACCTATTTGTGAGTTAAGTTATTTTTTTTATTTGAATTTGGTACCAACATTGGTTGACAATAATACCCTCAAATTCACCTATCCCACCATCTCTGAAATTTTTTTCAACTTAATATATGTAAGAATGAAGCCGAGAAATAACAAAACTTGAAAATCACATTTCTCATTGTATCTTTGCAACATATTGCCTAGGAGGTTATTTTTTTGAGAATTACGATATTTTTTATTTTCTTTCATATGAGTGTTGGATTGTCAATTTGGTTTGAGAGCACGTTTTACCTCCTTATTCAGCTTGATCTTTTGATGATCGTATTGCAAAATTTGCTGTTTGAATGAAACCCTTATCAATTACAATTACAAGAAGAAACATTAGTGAAACACTGAAAAATAAGTATTTTGGAATGAAAACTCATGCAATTGTAAACCACAACCACGTTTTGACAAATGGTTTGCAGAACATGATCACTATTGGTTGTATTTTCAAAAGTATTTTAAAATACTATTTTGTATTTTATTACTAAAATGCTTTTATGAAAGTTTTTTGTATTCTGATATCTAAAATGCTTTCGAAGAAGTATTTTGTATCTGAAATTCTTTATTCAAATATTTTGCCTAACTCTGTTGGTAAGTAACTTTTTATGCAATTTTTAAATCCGTCTTTGTACATTTCGGTGTTTTGATCGTTTAAATCTTGCTTTGATTTCAGTCTAAATGCGTGCTCATTTTTACTTTCTCACTACTGCATAAGCTTTTAAGAAAGTATTTTCAAACTCAACACTCTCAATTCTAGCCTTTGTTCTTTCGTTGTTTTTTGGGGGGAGTGGGCTCTTCTTACAGTTTAGTCAGATGGCACTTGTGATGATACTAACTCGCGACTCACTGGTTCCGTCTATCATCTTTGCCAATTGATTAAATGTATTTCCTATTACCAACCTTCAAAAATCCTGGTACCAGTGTGAATATACTTAAATTCTGAAATTTTTAATTTAGGTGATGGTGGTGTACCTTTGACCGCTTTTCTTACTTGGCATTTTTACCCTTCAGTTTTGTGTTTATAACGTATTTCTGGTTTTAAAATATGCTCCTAAATGCGTATAAAATCTTTTTTTTAATGATTTGGAATGAATTTTAAACATGTTTGATATTTATATGTTTGAAAAAAATTGGTCAAAGGTACACAACTATGCAGCATCTCAGACCAGTGAAAGTTGTACCTTTGCCAACTACACTCAAATTATTATATTCAGTTGATTTGAACCTATTTCAATTATTAAGTTTAGTTTAACAATATATTATGAATGTATGATGCATACCAGCAACAAAGTGTACAAAAACTGAAAAATAGTACAAAGCGCAGAAAATGCAAACGCAAGTTTGAATAAATCTAGGCTAACTTTAAATTAATTAAATTCTCTAAAATCTTTTGAACAAAATTATAACATTAAAAGCCTATTGTGTAATAAAGGAAAATATCAACTACTCAACACTTAAGTGAGATACTAATATCTACAACTGATACTAATTAAAAAACCGTGTTGCAACGCACTGACTCACTTGCTTCCCGTGGATTTGGAAGCCTGAAAAGAATATCGTCTTTGCTTCTAGGCATATTCTCCAATTCTCTAAGAAAAATATCTGAAAGACTGAAGCCACAGGTTCAGTTGTATCTTTGGCTGGTCAAAGGTACACTTTTCACAAAATCAAGCATGTTCAATTTGAGGTTAATTTGTTTCAATTAGTAAATTATATATTTCATCTAGAATGTCTGTCGCATGTAGTTGTATTTTTCACTATGATATAGAATAAATATAATTCAAGTTATGACAAAATAATCTGAACAAAATACTATTGACGGTTACAAAGATACTGGTGGTAGGAGTATAACTAGGAAAACCAATATTTGAGATTTTATCAGTAATATGCACTCTGGTATTTGCAAGGACTGATTAAGGTACGCCACCTTCCTTTATATAAACAAAAATAATGATCTTTAGGAAGCCTATTTTAATATTTTTATAATATTTGTTTGCCCTATAATGCACTGCAAACTGTGAAAACCGCATCGAATTTGGTTCAGCCGTTCCAGAGGTTACCCGGGGCAACATGCTGGCAAAAATTATAAACAACATAAATTGGGTTTTGTATAATCTATGTAAGCATAATGTGCTAATTCTGTTATAAGCTATAGAAAAATTATTTTGAAATCACAGATTCACACATTATTTACATACAAATTAATTATCATTTACACGAAACATTTTAATAGCACTACAAACTGAATACACAATGTAGATTAAGACAAATAAGACTTACATTCCACACTGCCTGCGTCGATGACAAATAAGTTCGATCCAATGATTTGGTTGTCAACGATGCATTTTATATTTGCAGACATCACCTTCCTCGCCAAAAAGACCCTGTTTACGATCCAATAGAAGCGAAAAGAAAGCAACAAGAAGACCTTGTAAAAATTTATAAACCAAGACGCGTCCCGGCCATTCGTTTCAAAACTGAAGAAACATCCAAGAAGCTTCGAACCAAAGGTAATTAACTGGGACGCAAGGGATGACGTGGTATTCTGAATGCATACCTATTATTTCTCAACAGACCTAAGTTGCAGGGTTGCCAGACTTATAATTAAGATAAATTTACGATAATTTGATTTGATGTACGATTATCGTACGAAATAGGCTCAATAAACGATTGTGTCCCAATTTATACGATAATGTTTTATATAATTTAGTATGCATTTTTGGAATATTCGATACAGCATGCCCGCTTGGAGAATAGGCGGAATAGCAGGCTTCATGATGAACCCATCTTTTTATCATGGCGTGCTTAGATATTACTTCGATGTGTATTCCGAGTTGGCGCATGTCAGGATGTAAGATGTACTTACACCATGGCGGATGTTCAAAGGTATCATCATACAGTAGATTGCTGTATGCGATACCGTTTCTTGTCGGGGTTTCAGAGCCTTCCTATATGTACAATAGTGAAAATACAATTTTTTTCTTGTGTGTGTTTAACAACATGTGTGTGTTTAACAAAAATAGATCTTCAAATAAGATCTTGTTTAATTTTTTGTAAATTGGCGATACAATTAATTGCCCGCTGCGATTTTACTGCGCTTCGTGAAAGATTTTAACACAGTTGGAATCTTCGTAAGCCAGAATTTATGTACTATTTAATATTGCTGTGTTCGTTTTTATATTCCATCTTTTATTATACATTTACACGTCAATCTTTTAGAAATTATTTAAAACCTATGTGACAAATATGAAATAACATTTGGTAGATTCAGGGAATATCACCATTGCAGGGAATGAAATTCCTCGTCGCGTACGCGAATTCGAGTAGTATTTAAGTCTCATTATTGTGATATGATATAGCGTTATGAAAAAGAGTTATAATTATCAAATTCATGTGCATAAATGCTTGAAAATATTTAGTTTTCGCTCCAAATGCTCTACTATTTATCATGAGTAGATCCTGGAACAACATGCACTAAAAATTGTAATATTATGCATGCAATATAACATTTATTTATATAAATCTTTATATTACACTGTACTACAAAACGAGTATAATAAAAATATATTTTCGAACAATAATAAACAAAAAAGTTAGTATGCAAACGAAAATTTCTCGTTTCAGCCCACTTCCACGCAAAAATCGGGAAATATGCCACATACTAAATAAAAATATGCAGTTAGTGAAAAAATCCCAGAAATATGCAATTATGAAAAATTAAAATGAGATACTTTTGTTTGATTGTTGGTGGTAAGTAAAGTTACATACATATCCTTTCGATATGCGCAATCAATAAAAATATGCAATTCCGAGGTCTAGTATTGAGTAAATGGTGCTACAATTACACTATTTGTGAAAGTATGAGAAAGTACTTTTGTTGGCGCAGAATTTCGAAGCAGCTTTTTGTGTATTAGTCCGCAGAATGTGCGATGAGGCATGTTATATTCCATTTAATATCATCTGATCCCTACCAAATTCACTGCGCATTAAATAAAAGAACTAGTGGTGCTACACAATAGCACGGGTTTTCCCGAATTAGTTTTCTATTTCCTATGGACTCGACTAGCTTTTCGGACTTGCCACATACTCCGTTGTCATCTATCGCCGCCCAAAGTATATTTATTAAAATGTTTTCTTAATTTTTCGGTTTCCTAATTGTAGAACGCAAATACTAGAATATTAAAGAACAGTAAAACGTCGCTCTAAATGGAAATTTTCTATGAAAAATTTGGAGCCGGTTGCAAGAAAATGGCGTGTTAGCGCAACTACGAAATTCGAAATTTGAAGCTTTTTCACAGAACATTTTTCATTTTTCAAAAACATCAATTGAAATCATTTGAAGCACTTTAATTCACAAATACAAAAGTGTTTACAAACTGCTAGAAATATGCATATTAGAAGTCTGAGAGCTCTTTAAAAAAAATTACCTTTGTGTTTTTTGGAAAAACAAGAAATACCTCAAATTGAACTGTACGTTAAATTAAAGAGCACAATTAGCACTATTCGTTTGAAAATTTTGAACAAAACATTTGGAGTCATTTTTGAGAAAATGGCATTTTAGCGTTTCTGAAATGCAGAATTATGAATTAGTTTTCACAGAAACTGGGTGTGGTTTCGAGAAACTTTGTGACATTATTTAAAGCACATGTACTCATAAATTCAATAATGTGAACAAATGACGGTTAATGTAAATATTAACTATGTCAGTTCAAGTAATGAAATTCATTTTTGTAATTTTTCAATAAAACAAAGAATGGAGCAAATTGATGTTTATGTCATCGCATAGAGTACATTTAGCACTATCTCTGTCAGAAGTTTAAAGAAAAAAAATTGGAGTTGTTTTTGAGAAAATCTTGTTATTTGTTATTTTTTTAAATTGCACATATTGCACGCACTATAGCGCGAAAAGTACTAAAATTTTCAAAAAATATACAGACCCTTAATGAATGAACTCTTTAAAGAACAAATTTCATTTCAAATAAAAAATCTGTTGTCAGCATGGTAGTTATAGGAAGGCGCCCGAAAAATTTGAGTATTTTAAAATTTTCAAAAATTCAGTTATTCCTGAAAAAAGGACCTACGCCATCTTTATGAGTGTATTTTACGCTATTTTGACAAGAAATATAAAGAAAACATTTGAAGACTTTTTGAAAAAAAAACCTTGAAAAATTCCCAGGAGCTTCATGTAAAGTATCCCAAAATATTAAAGAATGTTTTTCAAAATATCAAAGCTTCGACACGAGCTAGATGGACAGGGATTTCTTTAATTTGGGAAACATATTACGTATGATCTAGGCGCTAGTAGTGTTCACATACAGACGGATGGACGGACGGACGTTTAAATTAAAAAAAACAACACTTTTTCGGCATCAGGGGACCCAAAAATGTGTATTTACGTTGATATATCAAATCAATTTTCCGCAGAATTACATACCTTTCCCTATGCTATGTATATTCGTATGTATACGGGAAAGTAAAAAGGTACATTAACCCTATAACTTTTTCAATAACTTAAAGAAAAGTGTGCCCAGGGAAGTGTTTCCTTAAAGCGTGTACTACAACTAACTTAAATTTCTTTTATTAAAAAAATAGGCTGGTAAGGGGCATATAGTTTTTAACGTCGTGAAGAAGAGATTTTACTTTCATATAAAGTATTATTCGGGAGTACTTTACCGTATTAGTATACGCCCTAGTAGTAATGTACATAATATAAAGGTATTACTATTATACTTTCTAAGTAGTACTGCTAAATAACGCACGTACTTTCTCGCCCGTATTTGTTCGCAAAATTACGTATTTGTACGAAAGTAGTACTCAAATGTTTGAAAACATTTGTATGATCTTTCAAAATCCATCTTCAAGGAACAATTTTCATTAAGGGAAAAAATCGCTATCTTCATAATTGTAGTTGTAGAAAGAGGCGAAAAAAATTTTGAAGAGTTTTTAACGGAAGTGGAACCTGCACCACTTTCTTATACGCACTTCACACTATCCAACAATGAAATTTAATAAAAAACGACGGAGTCATTTTTTTCAAGATTTTGAAAGAGTTCCAGAGGCTACGGTAAAGAATCAGAACCGGTTTCAAATTCAAGGGGCCGCGACATCAGTCAAAGCAATTTGAGAATATCAATTTTGGAGAAAGTCGACTTAAAGGCTTACCCGCTAGCGTTCTCAGGCGGACAGACGGATTAACAGACGTTTTGATGTCATTCGATTTTGTGGTAACAAGGACCCAGAAAACGGGTATTCTGGCTACACTGGTTGGATTAGTCGTAAAAGGTGATATATAGACCATTAGTAAAATGATTTAATTATCGAAACCGCTTCAGTGGCATTCCCGCAAAAATGATAAATGCTGGAAAATATTGCATTTTTATACACTCTTGAAAACATTAAGTTTCGCGTCGAAAATGGCTTGACCCGAGAGGTTGCACATCCCTTCTTGCCGACAGCGCTATCAAACGTTTATTTTCGGAACCGCGTTCTGTAGGTCGAACTATGAAAATTAAATTTATTTTATTGGAGATTGTATAGAATACTTTAACGTCCATTGAGAGCTAAATAGTAGTAGTACAGAGGAAAATTGATTCCTACCCATGAAACCGACGAACTAATGTTTCAAGTTTCTTTAATGTAAAATGTGTAATAAGAGGGATGTTACAAGAAGGAAAGAAAAGCTGTGTCAGTGTTGTTCTAGAACTCGTGAAGTAGCGTATTCGATTTCCAGACTATGTAGACATTTTATCCATCCTTGTCTTATCAATTTTATGCATAATTAAGCCAAATTCGCGATCGTGTATAAGAAATGCAAACGGTCAATTCTAAAACAGTGGTAATAAAAGACCGAATAATATAATCTTCTATAATCTTATAGATAATAATCTTAAATCGCGAATAAAAAGAATGTTAAAATATTGGGCTATGATTTTCACTTTTACTCGGAAAAACTTAGAAACGTAGAACACAAAAAATGACCACGAAATTGCACTAGTAAAAGCTCGGAAAGACAATTCGTTTGACAAGTAATACCACAAAATTTTAGTGATATATTGATAAGAAATATCCACTTGTTTTTATATCTGTAAGTAATTCATTAAATCCCGTTTTGAAATCTCCTGTTTACGTTGATATGACTTTTATTTCTACTATAATACGTAATATCGAAATAAATAAAATTGTAGTTGCGTGCATATATTCCCTTATGCTGTTGATATATAATGTGAATAAAGAAGATGGATCTGTTGATGTTCTACAATTACAAATATTCTTAATGTGACGAGTCTTTGAATTTGCAATGTCTACACTGAAGTACAGAAGGTGGCTTTGATGATGAATGTTGTTCGTTGGTTCTGATGGTGCATATTTCTGAGATCACTTGCCTTCATGTGCGAGGCCGTGTGTGTAGTGAGATTTCATAGCTGTAAAGTAAAATAAAATAAAATAAAATAAAAATATAATTTGTCGAAAACGATTTTTGAAGGCGGAAATGTTCCTAGACTTTGATTATGCTATCGGAGTTCCTGACAATATTATTACAATCATATATTTCAGATATGTTGAAATCCATTATGCGTATTGGAAGAGTGTCGGCAAGCAGGGATGTCCAGCGCCATCAACCTCTTGGGCCAAGCAATTTTTGACGCGAAACTTTTTTCCAAGAGTGTACTTTAGCACAACAGCTCTTTACGAGCTAAGGCCTAACTGCAACGTCCCAGTCTTGTGACCATAAGTTAAAGAGTACGTGTGGTTAGCACTTAACCATCCCTACGCTGTATTTCAGGTATTCTCAAACTGAGAAGTGAGCTTTCTCATCATCAGACAGCGACAGATACTGGAACATTGCAAGGAAAGCGCACAATTAATTTTTGCCCCGACCGGGAATCGAACCCAGGGTTACACCTTGGAAAGCGAGCACGCCGAGGGCTGCTGGAAAATATTAGCAACAAATATTGTTTACTAATTTATTAATTTGCCGGAACCACTTCTGCACCCATATGTAGAAGACGTGAACTGTAATGAGTTATTTGAGGGCCAAACCAGTTATAATTCAATAATTCAAATTCAATTATATTATTAGTAAAATATGTTCAACGACTTCAATGAGGGTCAGCATATCCGTATATTAAATATACAAACAACGGGGACTTAATGTGAGTGGTGAATGATGAAGAGACGGGGCGAAAGGTATGTATTTTTTTAGTTCGGTTATGGACACGTGAGGTATTTCTAAAAGGTGAATATAACTAAAATTAGAAAAATACAGGGAGACCTAATGTCACGGAGTATCAGTGTCAGACGCATATAGGTGATTATCCAATCAGGAGAGACGTAGACATCAAACAAGGAGGGGAGTGACGTAAAGGTTAAGAAAAAGAAAGTATTGTGAGACTAATATTGCGCATCGAGAAAGACAAAAACAAAACAAACTTGTAATTAACGAGACCGAAGACGCGTGTGAGGACGCCGGAGAGGACGGGAGAAATCAGCAAACGGGAAGGCAGTGGAACAAAGAGGGAAGTGAAAAATCAATCAAAATATTTACGATATGTAGGAAGACCAAGTATTGTCATTAGTCGTAATTTTATTAAAGATAACGTAGCGAGGTAACATGGTCATGTATGTAAGGGGAACTCAAAGAATATGTGAGTGTAAATACAGAGTAAATGAGAAAAGCTGAGAGGGTAATATTGTTGTATTATTTTTTGGTTTTAAATGTATTGTATTTGTTGTTTTGAGGCCATTTAAAGAGAGGTCGAACTATAAATATTTTACAGCAGAACGAACTTGTTTAAATTCGTAATATTTGTCAGAATTCATATAATAAAACATTTATTAAAGAGAAGTATTGCTTATATATAGTTTCGTCGCCATGATTCCATATGAATGGCTCTACCGACCTACAAAATAAATCATCAGCAATGGTTAACCCGGTCAATCAAATGGGTTAAAGAATAGTGATTATAGATGAAATGTATTTAAAATATAGGATGTTTATAAAAAATTAAACCCAGTTCAAAAAGGATAATTTCATTACAATTCGCACTGTCATACTTGTACTTATCCGGTCGCGCTGTGTAGAGACGCAGGTCCAACGCCCGTCGCCCCGGCCATCGCTGAGCGCGCCCGCCGCCGCCCTCGCCACCTCCCGCCCGCCTCCGCCTCAGCGCCAGCCGCCCGACCGCGCGCCGCTCCTGCCGGCCCTGCCCAAGAAGAAGAGCGCTCCCGCCCTACGCCACCTCCAGGGCGCCAGCACCCCCCACGAGGCACGCAGCACGTCCCAAGATGCTGAGGTTCCAAATCCCAGCGCACAAATCTCCAAGAAGTGGAGCAAATCCGTCTTGCCCGCTCTCCAGCCCGAGGTGGAAGGTGCCTCCATGAAGCAGAACGCTTCCGCCAACGCGAACGACGTGCAGGAAGACACGACTGAAATACTAAACACACTACAAAATATGCGTACGAAATTCGCACGATATCAAAGCATTGAAACAAATGCTAAAGATTTACTATTAAATTTGAACAAAAGAAACGCAAATGAAACAACCACTGCTAAAAGGGCAGAAAGAAATATTCAAATTCAAAATACTGCAAATAATGGAACGAAGATGTTGACAATTAACTATCTCGCGGGAAGTCAAACGAAACCAGCAGCAGAGAATGTGAAGCAAAAGATAACATTCTTGCCAGACGTATCAACAAATTGTAAACATTATTTAAAGAGCAAAAACAACTTGGCACGTTCACCGAGCGAGAGCGTTGCTCTCCCAAAAGCACCTCTCCCTCCTGGATCCTCCCGCATCCTCGAAGGACCTCTCCTTCTCCCGGGAGCCCTATCCTCAGAAGGAGTCGGAGGTAGGGGTGGCGTCGTTGCAAATTCCTATACGAATATAAAGAGATCGCTGATTAGGCTTTTGAGTTATTTTTGTTCACTGCGCAGAGTATGGACATGTTTCCGTGAGCTCCCCCTCAATATTAACTGTATTGTTGAGTAATGTCAAATGTAAAACTTCATTGGCGCCCAGTGGAACCAACAATTATCTCACTTTTAGGTTTGTCGACAACAGTCGACATCGCAATAATCACAGAGATACGAGATGAGTCTAAAATGGACGTTTCCCTAGGTCGGCAAGAAAAAAGAAACACAATTTCGTGCAAATAACGTTATTGTAGCAGTTACAGAACGTACTGCACTGTTTTGTCACATAATCACCACCAGAATTGAAGCATTGGTCACACCGTGGGATGAGATATACAATGAGTGATCTTTGCTTGTGCAGTAGATCTGTTTTGAGCCGAATCGTGTGTCGAATCTATGGTCCGAATCTCTCCGCTATCAATTTCCATCTTTTGTTACTCTTTATGAAGGTGTTACGCATGAGCGTTACGCCTATCCCAGTGGCGTAGAGTTGCATGTGGCTGACAAACGCTGCTGCTTATCTCAGGAGTCAGATGTCTACGACTGAGGGACTCAAAAGTTGATCACATGAAAAGACAAACGGCTCAATTCTGTTGGTGAAAAAAGAGTGTATCATGTGCTCTATCTGCCACAAACAAATGCTCCATGAAATAGGGTTTCATTTTTGTTGACGGTCCTGAGAAACTTACTATCGTGGTGCGCCTCGTATTTATCCATTACTTATAGTTTTTAGAAGCTGATGAAATTACATTAGGACGTGCAAAACTGCCAGACATGATTTGTTCGATTAAAATAGGAAGTTCCTTCAAGGTCACGAGCTGGCAGGAGAGTGGGACACTGTCATGCAATCGCCGGCTTCGTGACGTCTTCAATTCTTGGTATTGAACCAACCGATTGGATAAAAAGTTCCCCTCTCTTTTCAGCATGTAGAAAGGGTCTTTCCACATGATCAGGATGTGTTAAGTCACTGAGGAGTTTCTGCTCTTTGAAAGACCTGCCTGAGTTAGAACCCGCAGACTTGGAGTTAGAACGTTGTGTACACCATTCCATAGGCGCGAGATATATTGATTACATTGATATCAAGGTCAATTTCGGCAGATCGAATCTTCCTCGGTTTTGATACCAAGGGCAAACTTATATATTTTGTGTTCTTTTTCATCCTTAAGAAGATAAGAAAATGTGTTGCAATAAAGACGAATTGTGACAAAAATTGTTTTTGCTAGGTTCTGATAACGAAAAATTGGATAAATCTTGTTCCTATGCATAGTACATTACTTTTATAATGTTATGTAGTTCAATTCCATGTTTTAGAGCCCTTGGTTCTGAAAAATCGATTGAGGGCAAAGCGCCTCACTCTCTGTCCGTTTGTGGTCAACGATAGCGCCAAATGCGTTCGGTCAATTCTCTCCAAAACTGATATTCCTCGTCCAACGTAAGAAAACTCAAAGTGTGAAGGGAATGTTTTGATTTTTGGTGGCACTTTACGTGTTTCCACATTTTCAAAATTGTATCAAATATGGCTCAAAATTCTTTGATTGAACTTTGTCCTTCGATAGCATGAAGGACGCCTTAAATAGTGGTGCATGTTTCATTTTTCTCAAGTCAGTGATAATCGAAAATCGGAAAAGTTCATTTCTTTAATTCGGTGCCTTCCTACAACTGCAACGTTGAAGATAGGGATTGTTTCCTAACACAAATCTGATCTTTAAAGATACATTTTGAAAGAAGTCGTGATTAATGTTTCGAAAATGTTAATAATTTTCGTTTAATTTTGCCTGAAATATTGGGAATATTTGTAAAACAATTGTAATAATAATAATAATAATAATAACTGTAAATTTGAAATTATTTTTTTCAGAAAAGGCTCTTGTCGGATAAGATGGTAAAAAGTGCCATATTAGAAAGTGACATAAAAAAGAATAGAAATCCCTTCAGCGAATTCAATGAAAAAAGAAAACACGTTTTTGTACTGCGGCGGATGTGAGGGGAGCAGGAATAAAAAAACTCCGAAAAAATGTTTTTCACGGTCACAGGAAAAATTTTATGTTCAATTTTAAGCGGCGCACGTTTAATCATCTTACCTGGCTAGAGACTTTTTGAGTTTTTAAAAACTTCAATAGAAGTCATTTGAAGCACTTTAACTCAAAAATACAAGTGTGTCCACAAATTTCTGGAAAAGTGTATATTAATGGTGTGAAATCATTCAAAAAATTTGATTTGAGTAAATTTTGAAAAAAATAAAAAATAGATCAAAATGAACTTTTAGGCATATTAAACATTGCAATCAGCACTGTCCGTTCGAAAAATTTGATGACAAAATTGGTGTCGTTTAAATAGACAAAATTCTAAAATTGTAAATTGTAGATTAGAGATTTACAATAAGTACATGCACATTCAAATGACTTAAATCAGAAACCTATGTAGAAATTGAGCTAATAACGTATTCTATCACTGTACATGAGTATGTTTTTGTGTAATTGTTTTTATGTGTAATTATTTTAATGTAGCAATTATTTCAGTCTGCAAAATTTCATTTGCAATATCATCCGTAGAGACAGAGAAAATGTCCGCGCGCGGAAAGGCAACTGTGCTGCCGCCTCTCCAGCGCGAGAAACCGCTCGACCAGAAGAACGTGCTGGCCTGGAAGGCAGGCCGCCGAACGAAGGCCGACGCCCTGGCAGAGACTCTGCCTGCGTGCCTCGGCAGCAAGCACTTGAGGCCTCAGCTCCTGAAGTGAAGCGAGCAGCCGCGACCTCGCAGAAAATTCAAGTGTTGCAGACGAATTGTAGTTGCACTGTATTTGTTGCATTAAGTAGAAATAAAAAAAAATGAAACTCATTCTTCTCTTATTTTCAACACTAGCGACAGCGATAGGTCATTTTCAGACGCTGGTTGGAGGAGAATTCTAGCGGCCAACTCCACGGGTTCTCTGATCAACACCAACCGGATGCCGGAGGAGTACTTGTACCCTAACAAACTGACAAAAACTTATATGACTATACTTCAGATGTCGGGAGCTTAGAGTTTGTACCGGATAGCGAGGTGCCACCTTGATGGGAGATACCTGGATGGGGAAACACGGCAAGCCGACGTATAGGTCGGCGCCATCGCAATAAAAATATGTAAACACTTATGGGAATTATGATCATTGACGTTGAAACTCCCGGAAACACGAAATAATCATTCTTCTCTTATAACTTTGCCACTGTGAAAATAAAGTTTACTGGTTCCTAAGCATATACCAGGTGTTTTAAACGGAACACACAGTATAGTTGCGATCAGGAAGCATTGCACTCACACACACACACACACACGAGCTCGTACGGCGACAGTGCATTAATTTGATCACATTCACAAATATTGAGCTTTCAGATGATTTATAAAAGATATTGAGCTTCTTAGATCAACTATCATTTCAGAAGGTTGACTTTGTGTTGGGATGAGAAATTACTTGTAACTCCCCGTGAAAGTAGCCCTTCTGTATTCGTAGGTAATTCTCATTATTACCAAGAGTTTTAGACAGCAACGCGATTAACAAAATCTCTCGGAAAGTGCCGTCCGTTAAAGTGGTGTTACACTTTCAAGTTAACACGTCGCCACTGTCAACTTCTACAAGCGTGGTCGGTAGCGAGCCAGCCTCCAGAGTTTGAATGTTTCATTAAAATCGCTGCGTCGGCCTTTTAATTCGTATTTCATATTATTATTATAATATTCCTAAAAGTACATCTTGCCAGTATGGACAAAATGTAGAAATTAACTCAAAAATATTTAGTGTTGTTAACAATACGTTTTTTCTCTCTAACAAGCTCATTGTAAATAATAGTAATACATTCAAAATCAAGTCAATATGATAGGTGTGGTGGTCGAGAATGTGGAAATAATTTACGAATCTTAATACGTGTATTGAGTCCAAAACTATTTTTTCACTTTTTCTGTCAAATTCTGTATACTAGTAGCTATAATGAAGGTACAGATTATTTCGTAGACCTTGTGGCAAAGGCATGACTGGTTCCAGTTGATGTAACATTAAAGATAATATTCGTGAGAAAATGAAAAGAAAATTGTTGAGCTCAAATTTAGACTCTTTCAATTTAAAAAAAAAATAAAATTTTCTCTCATACAGCAAAGAAACGCTTTACTAAAGTGGTTAGAGATTGTAACCTACCAAGGTTGGCACAAGGGTTTCAAAATTGTGAACGATTGCACTGGAGACCTCAAATAGTCAGTTAAACAATTTATAATAATTGAGAATGTAGAAATGAATAATTACACTATGTTTACGGGTAAAAAATGTTACACGGAGTAGGTGTAGGAAAATCATTGGCATTTCTTTCTTGGCGATTTAAATTTTTCTTTGGGAAATCTGGAATAAATTCTTCTGTGATGCTTAAAGGTTTTTCCGAATTTGAAAATACTAGTCGCCGGAGCGGATGATACAGAATTGAAGAGTTTTTTAAACATATTTGATTATATTGTTCAATTATGAGATCAAACACACTGCAGTTGTTTGTTAGAAATGTACCACAGCAATCTGTCGGCAGTGCGAAAGACTTTATTCTGGAAGGTTTGTAATGTACCGAAGGAGCCGTTCCACCCTTCTTAGGACATGGAAAAGTAAGTAGAGGGTGAAGGGCAGTTTTATAAAGTACAAGAGTGAAATATCGACGTCACTAGACTTTTTTTTGTCAGTCGCCACAACCAAAATAATTAAATCATGTCTATCTCTTTTTTCCACCGTTAATTGTATTTTTCCTCCAAGCGATATATTTTCATTTCAAAAAAAAAAAATCTCTTATGCGCGATATATTTTCATTTCAAAAACCAATATGCGCAAGATGGAGTATGTATAAGACGAATTTCGTAGTTTCGTATACATTCATCAGGCGATATATTTGGATGACCATCCTTTCTTCTTTGTATAATGTGCTGCAAATAATATGAACAGTTAGAACTAATGTCAGAATGTGTGTCGACAGATAGGTCGAGTTCAGCCGCTGTCCGGAGGAGAACTAGTGGCCAACTGCTCTGATCGGGAGTTTTCCGATATTTCTCCGATTGACACCAGGCGAATGCCGGACAAGTATCCTAACAAACGGGCCACTGCCACATACGTCGCGAGACTAAAGCCGGGAGCTCAGAGCTTGACTTGGCCTCTCTGGTGGGAGATGTGCGGTTTGGGGAAGATAACCGTCACCTCAAGCGCTAAAAATATACTCTACACTTACAGGACTAACACCCTTAGCAGTTGATGCGCCCGGAATTACTGATATATAAATCAAGCCAACGCCAGTACCATCGCCGCCACCACCACTACCACCACTGTAACCATTACGACCACCGCCACCGTTGCCCACCTGCCTTGCTCCCGCCCCGTCAAAGCCCCGCCCCGTTCGCCGGTCCGCCCGGCCCGCCACGGCCCGCCCCGGCCCGCGCCGGCCCGGCCGCGGCCGGCCGCCCCAGGCCCGCGCCCGCCGGCCGGCCCTGCGCCGCCGCCGGTCCGCCGTCCAGTCCGTCCCCGGCGCCGTCCCGCCGCCCGCCCGCCCCGTCCCCGTCCCAGCCGTCCCGCCGCCCCGGGTCCCCGCCCCGCCCCGCGCCGCCGGCCCGCCCCGGGCCCCGTCCGCGCCGTCCGGCGCCCGGCCCGTCGCCCGTCCCGCCCTGTCTCCGCCTGTCCGCCTGTCCCGCATTGCACCGCCAGCCTCCCTGCCACTGCACGCACTCCGGCGGCGCGAAAAGGTCGAGGGCCCATACGGGCGGTCCGGGGGCGGGGCTCCTCGGAGGCGCGGCGGCCGCGGGCTGGGGCTGGGGCGGTGGCGATGGCGGCGGCGGCGGCGCGCGCGCGCAGTCCTCGCGTTGAGCCCGGCGCGTCAACATGCAGCCTGCGCCTCCCGCCTCGCCGGCGTCCGCGCCCGCGCCCGCACGCTCCCGCCCTCGCCCTCGCCCGCGCCGCTCAACGAGCATGCGCTCCGTCCCGGTGAGTCAGCGCCGCGGGCGCGCTTTTGGACGCCGGCCCCCCTGCTGAGGGAGGCCGCGGTTTTCCACAGTGCTAAGTGCTGGAATGGTTATTACGACATTGGTACCGTCAGATGTTACGATACGTATATCGTGCGACCTTTTATCCCTTTTGTGAAATTTCCAGTGAACTATCATTTCCGTTTAAATATGACAATTCTTCCTGCGAAAGGTGGCATGTTGACGTTGATAAACGTTCATGGGGGGCATGGGTGAGTTATAATGTTACTTACATTACGAAAAAAATTACTGTTCTTAGCAGTGGGTCAAGAATAATGAGAAGTCATTGTAATAATCCTTGTCGATCTCGTCAGTATCGTTAAATTTTGCTTTAGACAATCAGAGTGGATAAGTGCTTTTATTTAACTTTCACTGTATACTGTCAAATCTTTGTGCGTCAGATTTTTATGCCACAGTTGGTCATACGTCAATCGTTGATGATGCAAATAATTCTGATCTCAATTTATGATTATGAGGTTTTGTGAGAGTAGCCCATGCAACTCTTACACTACAGTTTCACTAATACTTAAAAAATTCAAATATATGATACTTCTAACCAATGAATGCATTTACAAACATTTTATACCCGTGGTATTTCGTTAAATGATCGCTATATAGTAATTTTGTGGTTGCAGCAAAAGTGTTTAAACGATTCTCTATGTTTTAAATTATAGGCTACTTCACTATTTTCGAATAGTAACTAGAGCTGTTGATCGATTTCTTACCATCATGGAATCGTTATTTTTTTCGTGGAATTGAAAATTGGGTAATTGAATTCTTTGTATAGATGTATTTTCTGTTTGTAGCAACATTAGTTATTCTAAAATATTATTTGCTACGAAAGTGTTAGATCTTCTTTATGGATCACACCACTCTTGATAGCATAAGAGAAAGCATTTTTATTCTCTGTAGTGTTTATAGTGTGTAATTCACAGTGTATTTTCTTTGTGGTAGTGATTTCCAAACATTTAACTCTCAAAGTTCTCTTCGCAAAATCGTAAACATTCCTTACGATTTCTTCCTTAGACTTCTTTTATTGTGACTCCGTCATTGAAACGACCTAACCGTGGGCACTTCACAATTAATTTCCGTCTGTGCCCCCTTTCAGGGAGAAGAAGCCAAAGAAACACCAAACAATATTAAAAAAACGTTACCTGATTTACAAAAGTAAGAATTTAAGTTGTTTTTTTCGGAATTTTCTTGAAATGCTTGCAGTTCTTAGTTGCTCCTTCGCAATTCTTCAGAACATTTTGGAATCCGCACACGTTCTACGTGTAGTCGGTCGCGCCCTACGTTTTGCCAGTATTAGCTGATTCAAATTTAGAGTAATTCTGTTTGGTTTATTGATTTGAAAAAGAAAGGAAATAGAAAAACGTAGTTTATAAATTCATGGCGATTACGAAACTTTTCACGTTCGTACAATCTTCAATTTTCGAGATTAATTCGTATTCAAAGAATTTGATTTTCAAATCCATAGTGGAAATAGTATTTTATTATGCATTTGAAATATCTTTTTTATCTGACAGCAAGAAAATATCATGTGATAATTACAAATAATGAAGATTTAATTTCACTGTAAAATAAATTATTATTTTATTTATTTAATAGGTAATTATTACAGACAAAATTAGCTTACTTGATCCTATGTGGCTAGGCTTGGGAGTCCGGTGTCTTCGGGATTTATAATCTGCCTTGTGCAGTGTCATTCAGCAAGTTGCTGCAACTTCTACTAAGCTACTACTGCTAGTAATAATAATGATAATAATAAAATAAATTAAAAATATGATAGAATTTTGCCATCCACTAATCTAGAAGGAGATTTTTACTTTTCATTCTGCCATTTGGGCGTCTTCACCGATAGATGATTTTGAATGAAGAGTAGATAGTTTGTAAGAGGCGTTTATTTATTTCGATTTTTTGATTTCTTACGCTGTTAATTTATTTTATTTATTTATCTCTGATGACACAGTTAAGACTTATTTGCCTTTTTATGCATTTGGGGTAAAGCAAATTAGTAAATGGTAATGTCATCAGACTGAAATTTCAGCCAAAAAGTAAACTTTTATCTAGGTATTTTCGTTTTGTTGTTGATAGTAAAAACTCGGTGATAGTTTTTAAAGAAGCTCCTCACGACTAAATAGCTCATCCTGTGGCGGATCTATCCGATCATATGGGGAGGAGGCATCATAGATATTTGTTAAATAATAAACATTTTTTATTATATTGTGTATTATTTTTGTAGTGTATATATGATGCCATATAATACAATTTTTTAAATAATTACTGAATTCCAACATGAATATTTAAATGACTTTTGCAAAACAAAGGGAGATAACAAATGAAAGCTCCAGGCCTTGGGGAGGGGGCATGCCAGTCTCTCCTGGATCCGCCACTAATCCAACCCGTGAACTTCAAATGGCTTTTTACCACCTGTAAAATCTCGTATGAATGCTGCGTATCTCAGTCAATGGTTACGCGCCACAGTGTTTCCCGACGTGGCCAAGAGAGTGCTCTGCGCGCTCGCGCCGTTACTTGAGTCATCGAAGCTGCGAGGTCGAACCCAGCGAGAATCCCCGAACCCTTCGGGGACCTTGGCGGCGCAGATCGCCTAAGCCATCTGCGTAATTGCGCCTCTTAATTGTTGGGGTAGCCTGTTCATTACGTACGTTTGCATGGTGCATGGGTTCTTTATTGTGGATCTGATGACGAGACACCCCAAAGTGTGTTATTTGAAGTCCTTCAGAAAATAGGGGAAGAAATACTTCCTCTACCTGCTCTGAGAATTTCATGTCCTTGGCTACTTCTCGTAGATCATGATTCATTTAGAATGTAGCACAGGATTTCCGTTATTCGAGTCGCCATCTTTACTGTTGCACGGGAAGTGGTATTATAATGGATATTCGAATAGTCTTACTTCGAGTTCCTGAATATTGCATCAGGTTATCCACTATCCTTCTACAGAACCTCATTCATGTTGAAAATAAACCTTGCAGTGGTACAATTGACAATGTTTTATTTCATACTAATAGCTAATGCTATTAGTAAATATTGATACCTGACAATATCTTTATTTATTTATCAAGCTAATGCTATTTGCGAACGCTCTTTGTCCTATACGGAAACGTCAATTAAATTGGGTCACGTTGATTGATTCGGTAGTGAAATGTTTTTATATCGGGATTAATTAATCAAAGGATGTGCATTCACAAATATAAAGAGGTCAGTTAGCCAGACTCTTAAGACGTTAATTCAATTTTGCAATACAGATCATTTGATGTTACACAGTTGAAGATAAATTGGGGGGCCAAATACATGAGTCAGGCGAAGAGAAAATGAAGGCTTATAATTCTGAATGGGAAGACGTTTATTTAATTGCGTTATTTTAAGCTTATCTCCAAAAATTTTAAATTGTGGGTTAAGACAGGTGATTCCTTCATACGTTTCGATTTACCTTAATCGTGTGTCGTGAGTTGTTTCAGACGTGACCACTCAAATGCTTCATTAACTTGTACAGAAGTATTGTAATAAATGTCGATTTAAAGAACATGCCCCGTTGGGTAGAAAGGTATTTGGCAGCCGCCTTGCTAGTGAAGCCAACTTTTTTCACCAGGAGAGACTTGGAGAGAATTCCAGGCCCTCGATCGCACGGTGAAAGTCTGTGTCGGTGAAGCTCCCGGGACGAGTCGGAAGAGACAAAATGTTTCGATCGGAGTGCCGATTGAGTCGCACCGCATCAAGCAGGATGATGCAAATATGCGCCCGTCCTCGGAGTCGCTGGGTGTCACCGCATGCAAATGCAACCCGACGTTTTGCGAAAGGAGGGATCAAATGAAAGCCCTAGAGGAGGAGAAGTCATTGTCTTCTGGCGCGAGCCACGTCGCGCCGGCGACTGTGTCTGCTCGGAGACGGCTTGACCAGATCGGCTGCAGTGGCTCGGTGGCAACATCTGATGGCTCTGCAGCGTCGTTGGCCAAACGGTCTTAGGGCTCGACTCCCTACGGTGGCGAATTTTTCGTACTAGCTACATAACAAAGTCGATTGACTAATCGGATAGAAATTACGAGCGCGTCAACGGCTAAGGTCATTAAATCCCGTAAGTGTAATGCATGTTTTTGTGATTTTTCCCCGCTGGATGGCGAGATTCAACGTCGGCCTACCCTGCGGCTTGCGGGCTCCCAACCACCAATGGGGCACTGCTCATCCGGGACAAGCTCTTAGCTTCTGAACAGTCTCCAGGCATGTGTGGTAGTGTAGTGTATGTGTGTGAAGGGGTGAAGATAGGACAAGAAAGAGAAAGGAAAGATCGCGCGTTTTCCATGGCCCGTTTGTTAGGGTACGGCCTCCTTATCAGGTACGGTGATCAGAAAAATCTGATCAGAACAAAACATGGAAAACTAGCAATCAGAGCCGCCGGCCGTGAGAATTCTCCAGAGAGAGACTCTGAATTCAACATATTTATGTACCTTCTGTCAAAAATCGTACCACCGCCGGGACTCGCACCAGACGGCCAGAGGCACTGCATTGGCATCAGTTGATACTCTCAGCCACTATTCGATCATACTTGTGTCGTGCGCAAGGGTATCCCATTCATGTATTTATCAGTTCATGCACTCGGAAACAACATAATCTATGACAAAAGGCTGGGAAACAAATCATGTAGTTTTGCGTAATAAATACCATTAGGCCGGTTGAGATAAGCTCAAAGCCAATTACGTCGCAGGGGTCATGGGGTTAGAGTCCCGATGTTGGTGGATTTTCGACACTAGCGAGTGCATAGCTAGATCGAATTCAACTGTTGTTCGGGGAGAATGCTAGCAGCCATCCTCTTTGATCGGTTGTTTCCGTAGTTTCTTCGATCAATGGCATGCGAGTGCCTCACCAAAAGGAGAACGGACCGTGCGCGATTCGTCTTATCTCGTCCTTGTACCCTCCTCTCCCTTTACACCTACACTTGCATCCACCACAGTTATACACATGTCAGGAGCCGAGTTGGGAGCCTAAACTTTCACCTCGCTTGGGCATATTATTATTATTATTATTATTATTATTATTATTATTATTATTATTATTATTATTATTATTAATATTATTATTATTAATAATATTATTATTATTATTAATATTATTATTATTATTAATATTTAAGATGATGAATTTTCATTTGTTTGTTTCATTTTTATATATTCATTCCGACGACTTGTTTTCCATAGTTGGAAACCCTTGCAGTCGTTTGGTACCTCTGTAGTCATTAACGCCATTAGGCCGATGAACATCAATCATTTGTGCTATTGGTCGTGCGTCGTTCAATATTTTTAGTAATTGAATCTTCTTATTAAAATCATATAAACAAGAAATACCATTTTTTTAAAATAGGTGGACTCATGTGTCATCTTCAGGAACAACAAATTTGTTTCATTGGCCTCAACCGAAAACTGCCATTAAGAGGGACCTTTTCATTTTTCTTTTTGGTTAAATCGATACTTTAACAGAGCATTCGCAAAGACAGTGATCCAGCCGCGCGTGTGTGAGGGGGCGTGGCCGCGCGGCGTCCTTCCTCGCTTCCAGGCTGCGTCCGCCGGCCGCCGGCCGCCCGTGCTCTTGTTCGGAGGTCGTGACGGGGTCGTTGGCGGCGTTGCGCGAGTGCAGCGCGAGCGGGGCCGGGAGGGGCGTGGCCCGGGCGAATGCCAGGGCGCGGACGGCCGCCCCGCGACCTGCGCACGTGAAGCACTTGCTCGCACCGCTCGGCTCTAACCTAACCGGCTCAGGCCGTCAGTTCATGGCCTCTGACTGGGAGGGCCTAGGGTTCGAGTCCCGACGGTGACACGATTTTCGACCCTAGCCAGATCGAAATCAGCCGCTATCTGGAGGAAAGTTCTAGCAGCCGGCTGCTCTGATTGGCGTCTATCTTATCAACACTGGAGGAATGCAGGAGCAGTACACTAACAAACAGGCCACGGACCGCGCGTGGTCCTTCCTTCCATTTCTCTGTCTGATTCGCACCCGTTTCTTACACACATTTACGAGCAGCACACTACCACACATGCCGGAGGACATAGTCGGGAGCTTACAGCTTGTTCCGGCTGGGGCGGTACCCTGCTGGTGGGAGAAAGCTTGATGGGGAAAACCCCGTAAACGGACATATTGGTCGGCGCCGGATCTCGGCATCCAGCACGATAAAATCATTACCACATATCACAATAAAACATGCACTACGATTAGGAGAATAAAGATCTTAACAGTTCACGTGCCCGGAATTATTCATCTATCAGTCGATTATTGATTCTACGAATAATAATTTGAAGATTTTTAAATAACATTGTTACGTTGCATTCACTTTTAACTGTTTTTTATTGTTATCCGCTTCTTTGTATTTATTTTGTAGTCCGCTTGTTTTGCAATTGCGTAAGTTTTAATTTGGTCAGGTATAGTTTCACTGTGGTACAATATACAATCTCAGAGGTACTTCTAACATTAACTCTAGGTTTACATCTCTCAATAACTTGTGATGGATAAACGTTTTTAATTAGGTAAAGCTGTCTACAGAGCAGCTTTTTACT